CATAGCCCTTGAGGAACCGCTGCCGGCCCAACCCCCGCCTCTGTGCAGAGCTGCTGGTGAGGGCGGCTGTTGGCTCAGGATCATGTATGGGCCCATGTTGATGGCTGGCGGCTGAGAAATCTTGGTCAGCCTTGGGCTCAGAAGGGCCCTCTGGGTCTCTCACTAGCTATTTCTTTCCTTTGGAAAATAGTCCAGTGGCTTCAATTCTTTCTTCCCTGGTCACATCCAGGGGTTCCACCTTCTCCTGTTACTGCCGAGCCTTCCCAACTTCTAAAGTGTACATAATTTTTCTTGACCATGGGCATATTATTCTCCTTCCTGGTAGCAATAATCTAATCCTAATCCTTTTGGAAGAAGGTGCAGTCTAATGGTATGATTACTCATTAAGACTGATTTTAAAAAACCTCAGCTCTCACCCTTGAGTGTTTCCTATCCATCAGCCAGTACTTTGTTCTCTTTCCCACAAAAAGCAACTTTGTTGTCAAAAATAGACTTTTTTTCTCAGAGTTCAGAAACGTTACAGTTTTCTTTGGTTTACAATATTTTAGTTTGGCTATTGGAACTGGGTAGTGAAGCCAGCTGGAATCAGTGGATTCCAGCACCGGATGATGGATGATACAGTATTATAGAATTCCGCAGGCCTCCACACATCTATGCACTACAGGCTGATCTCTGGATTTTCTCAGGAAGCAGAAAATGTGAGTAGGGGCAAAAGAAACAGGAAACGGTATCCTTAAATACAAAGATCCTTCCTAGGTAGGCCCTGTGTCCGAGTCCCAAGCATCCTCATCACGGAGCAGTGACAGATTCTTGCTGAAGTGACTGATTTCAGCCCTGATTTAGGGGCCAGTGTAACAGCAGGATGTGGACTAGACAGACCCAGGACTGGAGCTGGACCAGAGCCCAGCACTCCTGACTCTCAGTTGAATCCTCTCTCGGCAAGAAGGCAAAGGAAATAAATAGTTTTAGGGCCCCAAGGGTCCCATATAAGGCCAGGTGTTTGGGGTTCTGATCAGTTTCTCCACTGGGACGGTTTAAGGCGTTAAATGTTTCATGGGTTTGGTGAGGGCACCAGCAATGGTCCTTTGACGGTGAAGTTGTGGGGAGGGCGGGTTTGGTGGCAGTCGGCAGCTGGGGGCTCGGGGCAGGAGAGGTTCCCCGAGCAGCGTGGGAGCATGTCTGCCCTTGTGACCTGGCTCTCATTCTCTGGGCTTCAACCACAGATGTGAAGAGAAACTCAGACCTTGAGCACCAAGCCTTCAAAAGACACAAGTGCAGATCTGAGTGATGACTGACTGGATGGAAATTTTAACCACGCAAACAACTTGAGATTTTGACATTAAACAGTGATTTGTCTTTCCCTGTATGTTGGGCTTTTAGGTCTTGATTGAGGCACAGGGGTGCTTTGCCTCTTTCTCCCTCTCAGACACGGGCCGAGTCCTTCTAGCGAGGTTTCAGTATCAATGCGCAACCAACCTACAGAGGAAGAGATTAAGAGCCTGTGGTTGACACCAGTTTGCTCCATTTTAGGGGTCGGTGCCCTAGAAATGAGTATTCATATGCTGATCACAAACAGCCTCATCTCTTAATGAAAACATAGCATCTAATGGTCTTTATTTTGATTATAAAGACCTGTTTTGGATTTTGTAGGATTTAGTTGAGGTTTCTCTATAATTACGCCAAATTTTAGCGGTAATTTTTCTTTCAAGCCTTTTCAGCCCTGTGAAATTGAGAGTTGATAAAGATCTAGAGGTACGTCTGGACATAGATGTAGATTTGAGTTGGGAAAATGGAATTGATTCTCGTGGGCTAAAAGATCAGCAGAGGAGCAAAAGCGAAAGGCAGAGGGGCCGTACATAGGGGCCTGCACGTGAGGAGAGCCCACTCTGGCACCGCCCTATTCTCCTGACTCCCTTCTGTGCCCCTTTCCTCCCAAAGCGGCATCTTCCTGGCAGTTATTCATGAAACCGCAGGCTCTGAGGCTCCCCCGGTGGAGGGGCGACCATGGAGATCTGGTTTGCTCTCCTCTCCCCTTGTGACTCAGCGGGGAGGGCTCAGGGCCAGGGCCTCTGAGAGGGAGAGCGCCTGAAACACTGTTGATTTCTTATTTTCTTGGCTGTTTAGGCATTCCTGCTGCTGGTGGCATGGCCTCCATCTGCTGAGATGGCATGAAATGGCTAAGCAAACAGGCAGTGGGAGGCTTCCCTCCTGGTTGGCTCTCCGTGTCTGTGACGTGTAGTTCAGGGATGGTCACCTCCAATCACCGTGGCGTGATCTCCAGGGAGCCTGGAGCGCTCTGTCTCTCCTCCACCCTGTGCCCTCCAATCCCTGTGTGGTCATCTGCTCTTGCTCTAGGATTGAGGACAGTTTATTCTCTGAGTTTGTGGCAGATCATTTTGCTGAGGGGAGCACAGGGTTCGCCCTGTGGGTGTTAAACCAGCAGAGTCCAACTTGCTGCTGTCGGGCCCCTGCCTTACAGCAGCAGTTCTGGCCTCCATTCTTTCTCTCCTATGAAAGGAAAGCTTAAGCCAGGAGGACTTGGGGACACTAGCAGGGGTCTTCCCCTCAATAACTGGGTGCGAAAGCCCCAGCTGTTGGGTTTCACGCTGTCCTTTCCTCCTCCTGTGTCCCAGGGCCTTGTGCCTGCAGTGGGGCTGAAGGAGGGGGCAGGGTGGGTGGGAACGGAAGTTGCTTCAAGAGGGAGAAATGTGACCTGGCCCAGGAATCCTTTCTCTATTAGGCATCCCTACTCTGCTCTGCCCAGAGCTTCAGGGTCTGAGTGTGAAACCCTTTTTTTTATCTCACCTATGATGTATCAGGCCAGCTCTGAGGCCTGGCTTCTCTGCTCTTTAATTGTTTGAAGTCTTCCTTGTCCTGTCCTACCTCATCTGACTCCTGCTGATCTTCAGGTCTTGGAAAAATCATTCTTCCAGGAAGCCACTCTTCTTTTTAAAATATTTTTAATTGAAATATAGTTGATACACAATATTATATTGGTTTCAGATGTACAGCATAGTGATTCAACAATTATATACATTACTAAATATTCACAATAGATGTAACTGCAGTCTGTTAATATACAAAGTTACTACAATATTATTGACTATATTTCCTATGCTGTACTTTCATCCCTGTGTCTATTTTATAATTGGATGTTTGTACCTTTACCTATTCATCCATCCCTCCCCTCCCCTCCCCTATGGCAGCCATCAGTCTCCTCTCTGTGCTGAGTTTATTTGTTTTGGTTATTCACGTTTTATTTTTTAGAATCCACATATAAGTGAAATCATATGATGTTTGTCTTTCTCTGTCTGACCTATTTCACTTAGGTCTATCCATGTTGTTGCAAATGGCAAGGCTTCATTCTTTTTTATGGCTGAGTAATATGCCATTATATATATGTACTATATCATTTTTTGGATATTTAAAAAATTGAAGTATAGTTGATATACAATATTAGATTGGTTTCAATTACACAACATAGTGATTCAACATTTATGTACATTATTAAATCCTCATCCCAACTAGTATAGTTACTGTCAACATAGAAAAGATGTTACAGAACTCCTGACTATATTGTCTATGCTGTACTTTCATTCTCGTGACTAATTTATATTATGATTGAGATTTTGTGCATTTATATCCCCTTCACCTAATTCACACACCCACCCAGCCCCTCCCCCATGGTAACCACCAGTCACTTCTCAGAGTCTATAAGTCTACTGCTATTTTATTCATTTTGTTTTGTTTTTAGATTCTACATATAAGTGCAGACACATGATATTTGTCTTTCTCTGCCTGGCTTATTTCACTTAGCATAATACCCTCTAGGTCCTTCTATGTTGTCACCAATGGCAGGATTTCTTTCTTTTTTAAGGCCGAATAATATTCCATTGTGTCTACTTACCATCTTTTGTTTTGTTAAAAAAAATTTTTATTTTACCAAATGTACATCACAGTGGTTCAACAGTCACCCTCCCTGCTTCCCTGTCTACTCCCCTTCCCTTGGTAACCATTAGTCACTTCTCAGTGTCTATGCGTCTACTGCTGTTTTGTTTCTTCTGTTTTGCTTTGTTTTTATATTCCACAAATAAGTGAAATCATATGGTATTTGTCTTTCTCTGCCTGGCTTATGTCACTGAGCATAATACCCTCTAGATCCATCCCTGTTGTTGCAAATGGCAGGATTTTTCTTTTTATGGCTGAACAATATCCCATTGTGTGTATGTACCACATCTTCTTTATCCATTCACCCATGATGGACACTTAGGTTGCCTCCATATCTTGGCTATTGTAAATAATGCAGCAGTAAATATAGGGGTGCATATATCCTTTCAAATCAGGGATTTTCTTTTCTTCGAGTAAATATGTAAAAGTGGAGTTATTTGGTCTATACCCCACATCTTCTTTATCGATTCCCCTATCGACAGACTCTTACGTTTTCCAGGAAGCCATTCTTAATTCTTCCCACCCAATTCTGTATTCCCAAGATACTTTGTTATAGTCTCCCTTATCACTCTATTCTTCCCTAGCATATCATTCATCACAAGTTATTGTAAAAATATTTTCTTCCCAATATGAGAGTAAATTATTGATCTGTCTTATACACAGTTTTATCCCCAGTGATGGGAACTTGGCAGGCTCTTCAAATACTTTAATGAAAGAGGGCTTGTATTTTCTTAAAAGTTTTAGGTCATATGTTTGGACCTAATTTCTTGAGGTCAGGGGACAAAGAGGAATTTGGTTTTGGAGCTATTGATACTGAGGCATCTGTGTCCAGAACCATCTGAATACAGGGTCTGAAATTCAAGTGAAGAGGCTATCCTTAAGGAAAAAATTGGAAATCATTAGCAAGTCATGGAAGGGGGCCTCCCCAGTGTTGCTAACCAAATAGTCTAGATCTGGTATGATTAGAATAGATTACAGGAGATGGAGGACAGGTTTCCCACTCCAATTAGATTTTCTTTCTCATGGATTTATCCATTTGTTTTTCATAACAGAAATGGCCTCCACCTTCAACCCCCGAGAATGTAAGCTATTTAAACAAGAAGGACAAAGCTATGGCTTCTTCCTGCGAATTGAGAAGGACACTGATGGCCACCTGGTCCGGGTGGTTGAGAAGGGTAGCCCAGCAGAGAAGGCAGGTCTCCAGGATGGAGACAGAGTTCTTAGGATCAATGGTGTCTTTGTGGACAAGGAAGAGCATATGCAGGTGAATGGGGCATCTGGGTACATTCAAGATCTCTCCATCCCCCACATTTGCTTATCATTTTTGGGGTCAATGACGATGTCCTGGCTGCCATTAGCAAGGCAGAACACCTTTATGACTGTACTTACTGCTGGCTAATAAAAAATTGTAAAAATCATTCCCAGATTTGAGTAGTGTCAGGCCTACTATGCATTACATGTTTGCTATATGCCAGGAACTATCCTAGGCAATTTCATATATTTTTTTGTTAAATCCTCATCACTACCCATGAGGTACATGTTACCACTTCACAGATGAGGAAGTGGAGGGTCAGATAACTTAGCCTGCTAATATGTTCATGTGGTGAATATATGGGAGGGTCTGACCTTGCCCCAGTTCTGCCTGCCTCCAAACAGGTGCTCGTTTCACTGCACCCTTCTGTCTTCAAAGACCCAGGAGGACCTGCTGTGCTCTAAGGCAGCATTCGTCTCTAGAAAGGACCGGTTCTCATAAGAGTCCCTGAGGCTGGAGTTGCACCACACTCTAGATTCTAACAGTGCTGGAGGCCGAGCGTAATCTGCACTTGGATCTCTGGAGGGCTGTGGTGGAGATGGCTGGGGCACTATCTTCCAACACTTTGGTGTTGGAGGTCAGCTATCAGAATCTCCAGAGCCAAATATGAGCCAGATGGTGAACATCCCCTCTGGAGGTTAACAGAGGGTTATTAGTTAAAGTCATCTTTTTCTTTCTTCTGCCTAGGTTGTGGATCTGGTCAGAAAGAGTGGGAATTCAGTGACTTTACTAGTTCTGGATGGGGATTCCTATGAGAAAGCCATGAGAAAACGAGTAGACTTGAAAGAGGTGGGTCAAAGTCAGAAGGAACCGAGTCTGAATGATAAGAAACTGCCCCCTGTCATGAATGGAGGAGCGCAGACTTGGACCCAGCCACGGCTCTGCTACCTAGTGAAGGAGGGGAGCAGCTATGGCTTCTCTCTGAAAACTATCCAAGGTGAGCCTGAGGGTGGGGTGTGGACAACAGTCCAGAAGAACTGTATTGCTATCAGTTAATGACTTCTTTTGACTAACTTTTCAGTTGCCATGGATATTCAACAGCAGCTTCTCTCTCCTCCCTGGCCCTTCCCTTGCTTTCATATTATTTTTTGTTAAATAATATGTGAGGACACTGGACAGCAGCACAGTGGGGCAGGGGACACTGGGCACTCCTGTCCCCCAGTATGTTTTAGGCTGAGCCTTTGAGGCCAGGGCATTAGAGGGCTGATGCTTCTGTTATTCTTCTCTAGCCTCCTTAGGGTGAGGGTAAGGGGAGAATGGAGAATAAGAGGTGAGAAAAAGGAGGCTTTTCAGATAATAGCTACTTTTCAATAAGAATAGTATCTCTTTTCATCTCAGAGTATCTGAGTGGTCATTCATTTATTCGACAAAGTCTTGAGCACCTATTGATGATTTTTCTAGTCATTTGTAAGTCCTTATGAAGTGACCCTTGGCCTAGGAATTGGAAAGAATGTGAAGCACCTCAATCATACCATTTACTAATGTGGACTGATGTATATATGCATGCTTTCCCCTCCCTCCTGTGCCTCTAGCCTCGTTAATTTGCACCAGTGAGATTTACTGGTACACTGGCATGTGATTGTTGGTTATAGTACTGATTAAAGAGGACAGAATAGAGCAGATGCCTTCTAATTCTACAAATGTGAAGCAAGGGCATATGATACAATGATGCACCATGTGCCTGATTTGGTATTTTTCTGGTTCAAGAGTCCAGTGCCATCTGAGATTCCTTCCTTGCATTTAGTTGGACGCAGACATTCTATTTAAATCAACAAAAACCAGCTGAGTAATGGCTGTGTCAAGCTTTGTGCTAGGAACTATAATTGTAATTTTAGATCAGAAACCAAAGTGTATTTGAGTTAGCCTCATAACTGGAAGTTCTAATTTGCGTTATTGGGAGAAAACCCTTTGCTGTTGGACTTTCTATATAACAGAGTCTAACTTGTTCATCTCCTACTCTTTCAGGCAAAAAGGGCGTGTACATGACTGACCTAACACCTCAAGGTGTGGCTAGGAAAGCTGGGGTCCTGGTTGATGATCACCTGATCGAAGTGAATGGAGAGAATGTGGAAAATGCCAGCCATGTGGAGGTGGTTGCAAAGGTATATCCCGAAGGTGTCATTTTCTTATCTTTCACTCTCCTCTCACTGGAAGTGATGGAAAGACAGGCATGGTAGTTTGTGATGAACGGAATCTAATCCTTTGTACTGAGAGCCAACAAACTCACTGGCAGTGTGAGCAGTGTTTATAGTTTTGGAGTAAGGCTTTTGATACTTCCATGTTATCTGAGAAGAAAAGTGTTGTAAAGAACCATTAACTTTATCTTTTGAATCTTATTTGTACTCAGTTGGGAGTCCCCTCTGAATTCATAATAAATTCAATGTGGAGATATTACTAAAATATTTTAATGCAAAATGGAAGATAGCCAATGTGGTCATGAATACAGAGGTACACATGGGGAGTTTTGGAAGACCTGTTACCCCAAATCTTATGACTGAGCATGGTTCCACGACACATGGAAAACACTGTGAGATTTTCCTTTGAGGTCATATGGAACCTTGAAAATTGGCCAACTTTATCTTCTCTTGGTAGAATGATCTTTCAAAAACCTTCCTTTTCTAGTCTTTAAAAAAGTACCTTTCTGGGTTTTCTGAATTCCAGTTTTCACTTGGGTTAAGTTAACATCTGTGTGGGTGAAGTCATACCTAACAAAGGAAAAACAACAGTAGACATGGAAGTGGTAGGAAAGAATATTATAGCTTTAATTCAGGTCTTACATCCCATATTTGCTGTTGAATGTAGACTGTGTGCCTCTATATAATAACTTTCCTATTTCCTAGCATTGTTCTAAGAGATTGATATTGGTCTTCACCTGTGTGTGTAATTCCAGGTGAAGAAGTCTGGCAGTTGTGTAGTGTTCCTGCTGGTAGACAAGGAAACTGACAAGCACCATAGTGAACAGAAGATAAAATTCAAGAGAGAAACAGCCAGCTTCAAACTGCTACCACACCAGCCTCGGATTGTGGAGATGAAGAGGGGAAGCAATGGCTATGGTTTCTACCTGAGGACAGGCCCAGAACAGCAAGGTAAGGCACTGCAGCAGAAAGCCTGGCAGTGTGACTATCCAATTCTTCACCCCTCTCTGACTCCAGCGTTCCATTAGGTCCCCAAACCCCCACCAGATATATGATGGGACAGTAAGAAACTAGAAAGCATAGCTGGGTCAGTTTCCATGTCATAGGGGGACCCAATGATGGCCATCCCAAGGTTCCCACAGCAGAATGACAAGGAATTTGGGATGTGGGAAGTAGTAATGCTGGCAAATTGGTTCTCTGGGGAAAAAAAAAAGTAACCCCAATTTGTAGTATTTGTTGATTTTTGTGGTGTAATTACTCCCACCATGTCTGATTTCAAACTCTAACATGCTGTCACAGGATGCCAAGTTGAGAAGTATTGCACAGAATTGGTTCTTATGAACTGGTGTGAACCAGCTTCAACACACCATTAGATATGAGGCAGAGGTGTGGGTTGGGATCTGGGACTCAAACAGAACCAGGAGGCTTTCTGATGCCTTGTAACTCAACAAGGAAAGAACAACGGTCCTCTGAGGGAAGCTGAATACAAAAAAAAAATATGGGTTCAGGCCTTGCAAACTGTTATTTACCAGAAGTTACTATCTTCTTTTCATTATACAGTTTACATTAATTGATCAAATTAATTTGGTTCATATGTAAAAACATCTTCAGGGTGTTTGATGATATCAAGGGAATCAGAAATTCCTCAGTCCAGGAGCCTCTTACTTGTAGAGGAGATAAGATATGTGTCCTTAACTGAGGATAGATTAATATAGGGGTGGATAAGGTACTATGGGAATCCAAGGTTGGAGCAAGCTTTCCTCACCAAAAAGATACTGCAAGGCCTCACAGTCAAGGTAACACTTGATCTCAGGCTTTGTAGTACGAATAGAATTTGGACAAGTAAATGAAGCAGGGACACGGAAGGCCATTCCATGAAGATAGGATACAGTTTGATTGGCAACTAATGTGTAGCACTGTAACCAAGTTAGAGAGGTAGGTTGGAGAGAGAAGAGGAATGACCTTTAATGCCAGGTTGAGGAGTTTGGATGGTTCTCTAGTCAATGGGGACTTATAATTTTTTTAAGCTGTGTGACAGAGAAGAAAGTAATTAAGCCTATAGTGTCTTGGGGGCTTTACAAATTTCAATTACTCCTAATACTTCTGCAAGAACTGCTGAAATTGAGGTCTTGGAGAAGATACAGTAATTATTATAAGATCAAATAGTTAGTTGTGGTATAACTGGGATGAAATTCAGGTGTTTAGTTTCAGAGCCCATGTTCATGCTGTTGACCTGGGGAGTGATGGCCAGACACTGCATCAAGATGAATCTGAGGCAGGTCTATAGCGGAGAAGACAAGGATTAGGGACAGAGAGCAACTGGTAAGGTGCTGTAGGAGTTTTGGTAGAATTCAAGTTAGGAACTAATGCAAACTGCACTTAGGGTAGAGGAAGTAGGACCAAATAAGAGGAGATACATACTGAAGTAGCATTGAGCACTTAGCAGTTGACTAGATATGGGGAGAGAATGCTGATTCTTCAGTTGTCAAGTGTCACTGACGGGCGTGATGGTGCTCCCAACTAACAGGTGATGAAAAGAGGGGCTTTGGGTAGGGAGAGATGGGTGGGCAGAGATGATTTTTAGTTTCTATATATTACATTTGAAGGAACTATGAGATATCCAGTTGGAGATGCCCAGCAGCTAGATGGAAAAGAGACTGGAGTTTGTTAAAACAGTGTGAGCGATAAGAAATGTGTGAGAGACATGGTGGCATCTGGTGAAGATAGTTCAAGTCAGGACAAGGCTAAAGACAACATCCTTGAGGTGTGCATACACAAACGCATTCACAATCAAACATATGCAGTTGCTACTAAAATGCCAGCATGGGTTTCCTAGGAGCTTAATTCCTTGGTTCTGTTCATTCTTGCCTTCCTCCTTTTTTATGGCTTACCTTCTACGTAAGATGTATGGATGCAAGTAGGCCCGCTGACTTCCTCGGAACTTGCTGATCCTTGACACTTGCATGCTCTTCTGTCAAGATAGAATCTCAGATGCTTTCAGTAACATGACTTATTTCTTTAAGACCCTTTCATTATAAATGGCTAGGTTTGTTTCTGGAGAGGGCTCTGTGCAGGAAATGGGCTGGATTGGGTGCTTTAGAGGCTACCTAGGATGCCAGTGAGAGGGACAGTATCTGTACTCAGCAGGCCTTTCATATCTATTTTATAAGGGCCTTGTGTTATAGCAGTAATTCCAGTTTGTTTTTTTAGGGGTCTTTCTCATTATTTTTTTTTGGGGGGTGGTAGGTCAAATCGTCAAGGACATAGATTCTGGAAGTCCAGCAGAGGAGGCTGGCTTGAAGAACAATGACCTGGTAGTTGCTGTCAATGGCGAGTCTGTGGAATCCCTTGATCATGACAGTGTGGTGGAAATGATTAGAAAGGGTGGAGATCAGACTTCACTACTGGTGGTAGATAAAGAGGCTGACAACATATATAGACTGGTAAGTAATATAAGACCACATATTCATGCATTCAGCTCAGGTCCATTCACTCATGCCCTCAAACTTTGGCTAAGTTACCACTTTGATCTTCATACTGGAAGGAGCAAAACAATTATCATTAAGGCTGCAGTGAAGCTCAAATTGTTAGTGGTAAGAGAATGCCAAGTGACTGGCACATGACTTTTAAGCCCTTAGATTCAAGATTTTGAAAGAATTTGCAAATATAACTGCAGAGTTACTCTTGGTGATCTGAGGAGAATCTATACCTGGAATTTGGCAGATGTAGCCCTAACTTTCCTAAATAGGAAACAATGGACTTTATAAACTGTAGACCAGTAAGTCCCACATTAATCCCATGTAAACGTCACAAAAGGATTATTAAACAGCTGGCAAGCCTTAGCAAGGTAGAACACAGATTCACCAAGATCAAGTGTGTCAAACTAACTTTATTTCCCCATAACTCTTAATCAGAACAGTTATTATCTGCATGATTTAAGCTTTTTACAATATTTTTATTTTATCAGAAGAACTGAGATTCAGTGTATCTTAAAAGACATTTGGGGGCCTTCTAAGTACCATCTGCCTTGCTAGGTATTGGTCACAAAGATAACAAAGATAAACTTGTTTTACGTGATATATAAAAGTAGTATACAAAGGTACATAAATGATACAGAGGGAGGAATGATATGGGTGGTGGTGGTGGTATTAGTTCCTTCTTGTAGACTGAAAAATTGAAGCTTACAGAGACTGATGGATTTGCTAGTCACCCAGCTTAGTAAAGACTGAAGCCAGTATTTGAACTCAAGTTTTTAATTCATTATACCAGATACTTTCTCAGCACAGTTTGATTGGATATTTCAAAATACTTGTGTAAAGAAGATTAAAGAGTGAATTGGATGACAGAAAAATTAATGGATTTTTTTAGCTAGTTGAACAACCATACCTAAATAATACTTGATATTGGAACAGTGTGAAATGAAACAAGTATCTCTAATAGAATGCTACTTGTTCCTACTCTAAGCTAGTTTATTATCAAATCTGGATAGAAACAGAAAACATATTTAACATACTTAAGTCATACAGATGACTTAATGTGCTCATGGATAGTTTACTAGAGACTATAATTAATATTCAAAATATCTAGTCAGGATAGAAAGAATAAAAGCTAGCAAGTTTAAACAGAAATAAATTTCAAGTACTATACTAACTGAAAAGTAAATTGTATGAATACCAAATGGTGAGATCTTATTTGTTGACTATAGAGAAAGACCAGAAACTTGAATGACACTCTAAGTAGCTGCGCCTGCCCAAAAAGGTGATTTAAAGCTACATTAGTGGTTTTGAAGACATCAGACCATACTTGAAATTACTTAATGTAACCTTGGGCAAGTTACCCTCCCTGTGCCTTCCCTTTGTTGTAAGGTGGAGGTGGCTACCATGAAGCGCGTCCATTAGGCTGAATGAGCTGTTTAGAGCGTTCAGAATGATGCCCAGCACATATATTTGTTAAATCAACATTGTGTCAGTTCTGAGAACCTCACTTTAAGAAGGCCATTGTCAAGAAAGGTAACCAGGGGAGTTTTAAGCATAGGCTTTGGGGAATGAAAGGCTAAATGGTAACTATGTAAGGTGATAGTTATGTTAATTAACTTGATTGTGGTATTCATTTCACAATGTATCAAATGATCAATTATATGTTAATAAAGCTGGAAAAATATGAGAAAAAATTGACAAAATTGAAAGGAGAAATTGTCCTATAATAGTTGGAGACTTCAGAATACTACTGTAAATAATAGATAGAACAACAAGGCAAGTAAGGAACTAGAGGAATTGAACAATAAACCAGCTAGGTTTAACAGACATACAGAGAACACTCTACCCAACAACAGGATACACATTCTTCTCAAGGGCACATGGGATATTCTCCAGAATAGACCACATACTAGGCCACAAATGAAGTCACAATAACCCAAGATAAAATTAACCCAGTGTCCACTGACAGATGAACGGCTAATATGTAAAATTCCTCCTAATCTGTCACGAGAGAGATTAGGCACAGGGAGGGTAATTTTCCCAAGATTTAACTAAAGTTTTAATGTTTTAGTTAATATAAAACTTTGATAAAAAAGATGTCTGTCCCCATCTTCTTCTTCCTTGTCCCCTCCCATCCCCCAAAGTAAGCTCAATAGGTGGTGGATCTTTGAGATACACAGTGAATAAAACAAACATCTAACCAGTTCCTGGCACATACTAGACACCCAAATATTTGAAGAATGAATAAAAACTCATTAAGTGTTTAATGTTACTATACTTTGCCTCAAGATTGGCTGTTACTGCCGGATACAATATTTGATTTGCTTGTTTGGGTAGTGATATCAGAGGTATTTTTGCATGTAATAAGTCACTTTGATAATTTTCTACATTTTAAAGAGAGAAAGAAATGTGGAACACTTGCAAGTGTATCATCAAAAGGTCTGAAGTTAGTTGATTTGGTTAACTAGGAGGTTCTGTGCTGGTGCTACTCTTGCTTAGAAAGGAAGATGTGCTCTTGTGGTTAGTAAGACAGATTTAAACAGAAATAAATTTCAAGTACTATACTAAGTAGAGGATCTCAAATCTAATTTTAGCCAGGCTGCTGAACAGTATGATTCAGGGTAGATCACACATTGTACTCACTTTCAATTACTTGATTTTCTACTCACTGCCTAACAAATGTCCTGAACACTTGTGGGAAGCAACTTAACAACAGATGCAAGATCTCACCATACCCAAATCTATCCTTTCAATTCTCTCAACCAAACCCCACAATCAGCTGAACACTTCATTCTATAAAAAAAATTAATCATGTTTCCTGTTTTGTGCTGCTTCTGTATTCAAGACCATCCCTGTCTTCACATGGATGGTATGGGAGTTGAGATGGGTTAGAAGTATTTAAAGATGGTGAAAAGTTTGGCATAACACAAATGTCAATTACTGGTTACAACAATAAATAGTAAAATAAATTGAGTACAACAGATCACAGGACCAGATGGGGAGCAGGAGAAGTAAGTAGCAAGGCAAACTTTTGTTACCATATGACTGCTGCCACCCTCTACCATCTCCCCACAATTACTGTGTATATGTACTTCAAAGAGCAATGAAAATAGTGTCTTTTGTTTCACTTACTCTAATGTGTTTAAGGAGCTCTGAAGACCATCTTACTGAAGAGGGAAGGCCAGATGAACCTACTTTGCATGAGATCCCGGACAAGTCACTCAGTGTGTAACCTGCCAACAGGGAGAATGCCCATGGTCATTCAGTGACTTGCTCACTAGTCAGAAGAAATTAGCAATTTTGTTAGACCTGTTTTTGGATCTTTGTACATTTCATACAACTTTTATTTTATGCATATGTGCATTTGCTTACACGTTTATATGCATTATTCCATGATTGACCTGACTCTTCCTTTGTACTCTTTCTGGTTGGGGTAGCAGAGAAATTTTACAGCCCACAGTCAGATGTATCTGGAAGAGGAGTGGAATATATATGACACCTTGTAAATTAAATCAACACATTTCATAAAGACTACTCATAGTTACAACTGTTTTTTTCACCTTTATTTTCAAAAGGCTCAATTTTCTCCATTTTTCTACTACCAAAGTCAAGAGCTACCTAATGGTTCTATCAAGGAGGCTCTGGCTCCTACTCCGGCCCCTCTGGAGGTCTCAAGTCCAGATGCTACAGAGGAAGAAGGAGAGAAGCCTAAACTCTGCAGGCTGGTTAAAGGTGAAAATGGCTATGGTTTTCACCTAAATGCGATTCGGGGTCAGCCAGGCCCATTCATCAAAGAGGTATGGTAATCTGGTTCCGGCAGCCCAATGAACACAGCCACAGTAGAAGAGACTCAGTTTCTCCCACTCATTGTTGGCTTAGTAAAAAGGTTGGATTGAAGGCCTACACTGAGGGGTCTTCCCTTGAGTTCAAGTAAATGCTGTCACGGTCCTGTACCTTTTAAGATAACTATTAAGACATGCTAAGCTCACATTTTTTGTTTCTTGAACTTCTGTTCCACCTAATTCTCTTTAGATACTTTCAAATCAAACAGAATGTGTTGATAGGACTATAGTTGGCAGTCACTATCAACTCTGGGAGTGACTTGTTTGCTTCTGTGCATTTGGCATAATGTCCCTACCCTGTAGGGATTGACAGTGAGAAGACTATCCCTACAGCTCTCAAGTTGGGAATGAAGAAGGCGGACCTATGAAATCTAATGCCTTCAATCCAGAAGATATACCATGTAATGTCCAACCACTGTAATTCTACTCAATTGAGTATGGAAGTTGTAGTTTTTAAAAGCAGAAATGCATTAGAGAACCTTTCTTCTGTATCTCAAGGAGAAATAACAACACAGTTAAGAATAAATTGTCAAACTCCTCATCTGAAGGGAAGCTAGTCTAACACCCGCCTTACACCTGTTTGGAGGTGGTAACTCAGATCCCTTACTGACAGGTACAGAAGGGTGGCCCGGCTGACCTGGCTGGACTGGAGGATGAGGATATCATCATCGAGGTGAATGGCGTGAATGTGCTGGATGAACCCTATGACAAGGTGGTGGACAGAATCCAGAGCAGTGGGAAGAATGTCACACTCTTAGTCTGTGGAAAGAATGCCTATAATTATTTCCAGGCTAAGAAAATCCCTATTGTGTCCTCTATGGCTGATCCACTGGCTGCCTCTGCTGAATCCAAAGAAGGAATGCTGGGGGAATCAGAGCACGACTCACACATGGCAAAAGAACGAGTGAGTGGTGATGCATTTCTTTTAGTGATCTAACTTACCAGAGTATGGTTATGTCCTTAATAAGTGTGCCTCCTGTCCATGTTTACCACATATTTCCTAAAATACTAGAAAATTACTATGTAAAGAAAACTAGCAAATCAAGTTACTGTGGTGGAGAGGAAGTAGTATACGGACAACAAATTTCTTTTTCATAGTATGGAGCTGACAGTAACTGTCTAGAGTTGATCATCAACAAAGAAAAGTAAGTTTATCAAAATTACCGTGGGAGCCACAAGAAGAATGTGAATCAGACTATCTACAAATTCCCGCTCCTCCACTTATCAGCCTTGGGCAAATGGACTTATTCTTTGTGTCCTTCAGTATCCCACCAATAAAACAAGGATAATTTGCAGGATTATTATCAGGCTTACATTAACTAAGACGATTAAAGTACTTTGAACAGTGCCTAGTTCGTGGTAAGCATGAAAATGAATGATGGTGGTCAGAGACAATGTTGTTTTAAAATAAATGGCAGGTATTGAAATTGTATTCCTGGAGAGGAGTAAGCATTATTTTATATGTATGTGGATTAGACAAATTCCTTAGTAAGTCTCAGTTTTATGCTTTTTTCCAATTTCTTTTCATAGATGAACTTGAGGTCCAAAAGGGAAGTGACCTATCAAAGTTCATAAAGGAAGCATATGGCAAAGCCAAGACTAACTTTTGTTTTATATTACTTTTCTTTCCACTACATCTGCTGATTGGTAATATAAAAAACAAACACTAATTTTTAATACATACTGTCCTAGTTCATTTGGGCTGCTATAACAAAATACCATATAGGCTGGGTGGCTTAAAACAACAAACATTTACTCTCACAGTTCTGGAGGCTGGGAAATCCAAGATTACGGCACCAACAGATCTGGCATATGGTGAAGGCCCTCTTCTGGGCTGCAGACTGCTGGCTTCTTGCTAGGTCCTCACATGGTGGAAGGAGCTAAGGGGGCCGTGGGGGGCCTCTTTTTATAAGGGCACTAATCCCCAAAATGACAGCTCTGACTTCATGACCTAAGCACCTCCTAATACCATCACCTAATTTTAGGATCAGGATTTCAACATATGAATTTTGGGAAATCACCTAAATATTTAGACCATAACATACACAATAGCTACTGACTCAGTATTCTGGACTACTTAATAAGGAAAGTATTCTAGTTGTGTTTTAAAAGTTCTGTAATATCTCTAAGGAAATCAATTATAGTACTATGCTAGCTTTATAGAAAAGAAATATATATAGGAATTAGGAGATTTATTAGTGTCAAATACCAAACTAGGAACAAAACCAAGTGAAGAATTCAGGTCACCTGGCTTCTAGTGAGTGCCTCCAGTCCCTGACTTAGGTAATTCAGCTCTGGAATAGACCATCTAACTCATGATGCTCACACTCTACCACTTACAGATTGTTTTCTTTTGCACAGGCCCACAGTACAGCGTCTCATTCTTCTTCCAATTCTGAAGATACAGAGATGTGACGAGAATAAATAATGGCTTTGGCTGAGAGCTGTTTCTGGGTATTTAACAGGAATCCTTTCCTAAGGAATGAGCTGCCACCCATTTTCTGTCTCTGCTAAAGAACTCCTCTGGAAACTAGTTCATCAGGTGTGATTATATTCTTTTGTCATTTGTCTTGGGGTGGCTATTGTAACAGAAGGCTTATTTAAGGTCAGTTTATGAAGAGTTAAGGCAGAGGCCAGATTCTTTTTATTTGGCCTCTTTTAAGCTTCAACTTAACTACATTTCTCTGTGTGATGATACCTCTTACCAAAGATGACTCATAAATCTGTATATTGGAAAGCTGCTAATTAAAGTATCTGAGATGATAAGCCTATTAAAATTATGTTTTTAAGAATGTTGTGGTCGCTAAAATAAATGTCATTAAAATGCATTTTGAGTATGCTTAAACCTTCCCTGTTAGCTAACACAACCTTAATAGCGGTCTTGTTTGGTAAGCTTTTTATGCTTTAACCTTCATTTTGCCTCTAGAAACCTAAAACACAATAAAATTCAGAGTAAGATCTTAGTAATAAAGAGAGACTTCCTGGTAATAAAATTCAGAATTTTCTTAAATTGCATTTCTGAAGGTTCTACAAATTTTCTAACATCGTCCTTTAATAGATGAAGAAATTGAGTACTAGGATAGGGAAGTGACTTATTTCAGTTAAGTTATTCATAGTTTTACCCCACAGCATGAGAGGCAGATGGTAAGAAAAAATGAGACATTATATACAATTGAATGTAGAATAATTCATGCTTAAAAGGAAATCAAGAAAAATGACATAATTTAAGTCTTTCTTGGTAGAACCTATTTCAGTTGCATAACATTCCTTAACCAGAAAATAAAAGACAACCTCTTGGTTATTTTAATGGAGCAGGGGTGGGATGGCAACTCCTGTTAGATCTCTCAACATAACAAGCTATCCTTGATAAAATGAAGCTAAGGCCGAAGAGTTACAATCTCTGATTTTAATGACTGACAGTCTCAAAGGGAAGCCATACACCCTCCATGTGAATCTTGAATTAAACAGAAATCCTATGTGTTTGGCTCAGCTACCTTAGACTTCTCTTATCCAAGAGTTCCAGTGTATTTTTCCTCCTAGTTTCTAAGGTCTTCCCTCCATCCCCAAATATTGCACTGACCTCAGATTCACTCAGGATGCTCTCAGCAGAGTACTAGGCTTGCGTCACTTCACTCTCTCACGTTCTAACCGACAGTACTCGCGGTCACAGTATTATCCGAGTAGGAAGGCATAAGCTAGAGGTAGAATATGCTACCACCACATTTGTTTGTTTAAAAAACACTAGGCCCTTGTCTCCTCCATTATTTTTCTCTCTTATATCCAAATTCGGACACCACTGGCCTATAGCAGTCTGCAGTAGACATGAGTTCAAGGTGCCATATGCTTCTCTGGTGCCTGTTTGTGAGCCAAATAGAGGAACAATATGCTGGAGAGAGCACTGACCAGGAAGATCACATCAAACCAGCGGTGATAGAAGTTGAACTGCAGCTCTCCAAGGACTTCGGTGATGATGGTGCGGTATTCTAGAGGCATGCTCATTCGGATCAGCAGCACAGAGGAGACAAAGTACATGCCCTGTAAGTCACACAAATTAATCCAGAAGTCACTTTGAATGTAGTGAGGGACAGGTCAAAGGAAGCTTAGAATATTTAAAAGTATAAAACACATTTCTTATATTTTGCAACTGTAAACATAAAGCTAGTTCATTAAACTTACCATTATCTGTGCTAATAGCAGGACAATGACATTGGAGGACTTACTACTGGAGATGGCATAAAAGAACTGTCAAGAAAAGGATGAAAGATGAATGTATACAATACTGCTTGATTCCTGTGTCAAGAATATTAAGTAGCATGGTTAACATGCCATAATCCCATATAGAAAAATTATTCATATGATTAAGGCATAAAGACAAATAGACCACTGAAAAAGGATCCAGTTACAGTTTTCCCGTGAGGCAGTTGATGGATTTAAGAATTACATGACATGAAAGGATTCTGACATCTATTGAACTTTACAGAAACTATGTGATACATATGACTTCATCATTATAAACATTAACACAAGATTACCCCAGGCTACTGTAAGCCCTTAGAATTATTACTTAGCTTCTAGGCTCTTTCCAAAATTGTGTTAGATGCCTAGAGATCCCTTCTCCTCCTCTCCCAAACTTTTCTCTCCTTCCACTCAAACAACTCTTGGATCTTGAAATTGCTACCTCTTCTACAAGACAGATTTACCTTCCATCTCCATGAAGTCTTCCTATGTTGATCAGAAAACATCCGAACATCCTGCTTTTCCTAATTCCATATCCTCCTTAAAAGGGACTCCATAGTTACTCTTTTAACCTCAAATGCCTATCTCATTCATTCATTCATTCCAAACATCTGCTGAGATCTTACCATGTGCTGGGCTCTGTTCTAGAGGCTTAAAAGGGACTCCATAGTTACTCTTTTAACCTCAAATGCCTATCTCATTCATTCATTCATTCCAAACATCTGCTGAGATTTTACCATGTGCTGGGCTCTGTTCTAGAGGCCGGTGACATATCAGTAAACAAAACACACTGATCTCATTTTCTGACCTTTGGTAAATGTAGTTATCTGATTGCTAGAATATATAAATATATCATCATCAATTTATGTATTACTTTAACTTTTTTTTTATTCTGTTGTATGTCTTTTAAATGTTTGTGACAGTTTTCTAAGATTTTAGAAGGCAGAAATTTTAATGAGATAAAATTATGTCATGGTGCCACATATAATTGAATAGGTACTTCTTAACTCTGTGATATGACATACCTTGGTAAGAGTGATCAGCAATCCTCTGATGGATGTGACAATGATTATTCCAACCAGAATGAAGGAAATGTGTTGGGACCAGAACTTCACCTGCCACCATAACAGGAAGAAAAAAATGTGTTAAATCTCTGTCCAGAGACGTGAAGGTTAAGAAGATACATTATTCTGATCACTTTCATACTGTGACAGGGAACTTCATTAGGTCCTGTATGATCAAAAAAAATTTTGGGGAGGGAAGAATGTGGGCAACTAGAACGCCTATAGGAAGCCTACAATGGATGTCTTAATTAGCTGACTTGAGGACAGAAGAAAGCAAGTGCAGTGAAGTGATGAAAACACTAACAAATCAGAGGAAACTCAGAGTAAACTGTGGCTTCAATGTGATAAGTGAAAGCACAAACTAAAAGGAAACTAAACAGCAGCTTGATGACTTTAGTATCTGTGAATGACAGTCCTGATTATCCAAAACTTTAACAGCTGACCTTCATTTCAATCACATTAAGTAAGATATCTTTTTTTCCTCTCAGATTGCTTCATAGTGGGAGGCAGCCTAGGGACTCTCTGCTTGATTCAGGTATGAAAAGTATCTGAGGGGGAGCTGCTATTATTCCCATCTAAAAGATGTTACTCAGAATTATGAAATGTGGAGTTTATAGATGAATTATAGATGAAACACATACATACATACAACTAAATAGCCTCAGAAAGAACTGATAAGAACATTTCTAAAAATTGCAGTCCAGTAAAAAATTTAAAAGGAAAACACACATGTAACAATAGTGAAGAATACTTACCCTAAATTTATATGTTCAATGAAAGATACCATGTTCCTTTACATGAAAAAGGACCACACTATTGATCTGTTACCACGAAATGTGTGCTCTGAGCTGTTTCTCAAGGACTGGAACCTAATTTGCCCTGATTCATTTTCATCTTATCCAGCTACCAGAGGCATGTGCTGCCGAGCTGGATGACGGAGCACACAGTCTGTGTGGGCTGGGATCTCAGCACAGCTAAATGGCCCTCACAGGGACTAAGAACACGACATTTGTCCTAGTATCAAAGTGCTAATCAGCTATAATCATTTGTCATATATATATCTGGAAAATACACTATTCTACAAATAAAGACAAATTGGGATAAGAGTGTTGAATGACAGTGGTATTATAAAACAGGTAGAAAGATGGTTAAAACTTTGTGCACAGGCTAGTTACCATCTTTAGCTACACGTAAAGTCCACATAAAGGATAATTCTTTTACAGCAGAAATCATTTCAGTTATAACATGGAACACTAATTACTAGTTAATTTTCTACCAGAGGGATCAAAGGTAAGTTGTGTGTTTGAAACTCTTCATCAAGTATCATAGAGAGAATTATCTGAATATTTATTTGGTGGGGAGAAATTGGTGAGTGGTAGCTAATTACAGAGAAGCAGAGGAGGAACAACAGAAATAATCAGCAACTATGACAATAGTAAGTCCTAGTCATTTCTTAATGGTTTTACATCTTTTACAAATTTTCACTATGACTATGTTAAAATATACAGAGGAGAGTGGGAAGAACCAAAGAATCATGTACCTATAACACAGAATTAGAATCATAACAATTGCAATTTATAGCAAATAAAGTAGAAAGCAACATAACAAACCAGGATCTTGATACAACTCTTACATCAAATTGGATCCCCAGATAATTCACAGTGATCTCAATGCCTCTTGTGACAGGATCAGTTTTCCCAACTCGGTCAAAAACGATATTAATGGTTGCCTGCAGAGATATAGACCTTTATATTAGAGTATTTCAATAATCACTATTTCAAAAAGTGATTCAAAATAATGAATTAATTATCTCAACATATCTTACAGGTGGATGTTCCTAAAAATGCAATTCCATTCTCAATCTAAATCATGTATAAAAAATCTGTTTTGGTTATTCACATATAGGCAAATGGAAATCCCTATGCCCTTTCTTTTCTGTAAAGAGTAAAGAGGAGTAAGTCTATGTCATATATACCTTAATTTATTAGAAGCTAGAGAGGTAACATTCTCATAGATAAAGTCAGAGTAAGAAAATCAAAGAATTCTGGGGTCATTCTCTGTGGTTACTTTTTGAATTTTAACAGCAATCACTAAAGTGACAAAAAGAGTTATAGCTAACAAACCAACAAAAGAGATCAAATGGAATTATGAAAAATACCCCATTAATCCAAATGTAAGCAAGAAGAAAGGGAAGAAAAAACCAGATGGGACAAATAACATATAGCAACATGGTTGTTTTAAACCCAACCATACCAATAATCACATTAAATGTAAATATTCTAAACCCCCCTGGCAAACTTTGCCACTGTAGTGTGACAGAAGCCAAGACAACATGTAGATGAATGGGCTTGGCTATGTTCTAATAAAATTTTATTTACAAAAGCAGGTGGTGGCTGGATTTGGTCTGTGAGCTGCAGAAGGCTGACTCCTGGTCTAAATATGCCAATTAAATGGCAGAAACTATAAGACTGGATAAAAAAGCAAGACCCAAATGTTGTTCACAAGGAACCCACTTTAAATATAAAGATACAAATACGTTAAAAGTAAAAGGATGGAAAAAGATATGTTAACACTAATCAAAAGAAGACTGGAATATTACTATCAAAGCAGCCTGCACAGGCAAAAAATATTGCAAGATTAAAAGGACCATTTTATAATGATAAAAGGATAATTTCAACAAGTGGTACCTAATGACCCTAAATGTGTATGTCCCTAATACTACAGCTTTAAAATACATGAAGCAGAAACAAAGAACTAAAAAAGAAATAGACAAATCCCCAACAACTTCAATAACCTTCTCTCAATAACTGATAAGTGGTCAGAAAATTGGTAAGGGTATAGAAAACTTTAACAATACTACCCACAAACTTGACCTAATTGACATTTATAGAACATTCCAGTCAGCAAGAGTAGAATTCACATTCTACTTATGGAATATTAACCATGGTTGACCATATTCTGGGCCAGTATCAATAAATTTAAAAAGATTAAAGTTTTACAAAGTATGTTCTAAGATCACATGGAATTAAACTAGATATCAATTAGACTGACATTTGGATGATCCCCAAATATTTTATAACATACTTTTAAATAACACATGAGTCAAAGAAGAAATCAAAAGGGAAATCAAAAAATATTTTGAACTAAATAAAAATAAAAATGCAACACATCAAAAAAGTTGCATTTTGTGAGATGTAACTCAAATAGTGCTAAGCAAGAAATTTATAGCACTAAAACACCTATGTTAAAAAAGGTTTTGAATCAATGATTTTAGCTTCCACTTTAAGAAATTAGAGAAAGAAGACTCAAAATAGGAGAGAAATAATAAAGATCAGAAAAGAAATCATTAAAATAGAAAGCAGAAAAAAATTAATTAATTAACCCAAAAGCTGGTTCTTTGAAAATTCAATAAAATTAACAAACTTCTATCTAGACTGATCAGGAAAAAAAAAAGAGAAAAGACACAAATTACCAATATCAAGATATCACTTCACATCCTCCCACAATAATAAAAACGACAAGTGTTGGTGAGGATATGGAGAAATTGCAACCATCACACAGTGCTGGTAGGAATGTAAACTGGTACGGTGGCTTGGGAAAACAGACTGGCAGTTTGGCAGTTTATCAAAAGGTTAAACATATATGATATGCTTAGTATGTATGTTTATATGCTAACAAAGGCTAGCATATAATCCAGCAATTCTACTTCCACAAGTATATACACCTAAGAGAAATGAAAAAAATATGTCCACATAAAAACTTATACATGAATGCTCACCACAGCATTATTTTTAATGGCCAAAAAAGTGGAAACGACCCAAATGCCCATCAACTGATGAACAGATAAATAAAACATGATACATCCATATAATGGAATGAATATTATTCAGTCATAAAAAGGAATGAAGTATTGATAGGCTAAAACATAGAAGAACCTTGAAAACAAAAACCTGAACATAAAAGATCACATATTGTATGATTCCATTTATATGAAATGTCTAGAATAGGGCAGTCTATAGAGACAGAAAGTAGATGAGTGGTTGCCTAAAGCTGGGGGATAAATAGGGAATGACTGCTAATCGATATGAGATTTCTTTTTGGGGTGACAAAAACTAATTATGTTGATGGTTGCACAACTCTGTGAATATATTAAAAACCACAGCACTGTACACTAAATGGGTGAATTATATTGTATGTGAATTATATCTCAATAAAGCTCATTATATAAAAAGAATAAGAGGAGTGATATCACTATAGATTTTATAGACATTAAAAGGATAATAAGGGAATACTACGAGCAATCTTATGAAAATAAATTTGGCAACTTCAATAAAAATGGACCAATTCTTTGAAAGACAAAAACTGCAAAAGCTTACTCAAGAAGAAACAGATAACTTGAATAAACCTTGTATCTATTAAAGAAAATAAATCTGTAGTTAAAAAATCTTCCTGCAAAGAAAACTTCGGGTCCAGATGGCTTTACTGGTGAATTCCACCAAATATATTTAAGAAAGAAATAATAAGAACTCCATACAAACTCTGGAATATTAAAGGAATATTTTAAAACTTATTCTCTAAGGTTAGCATTATAAGAAAACTACACTCTGATATTCCTCAAAACAGATGCAAAATTCTTAACAGAATTTTAGCAAATTAAATCCAACAACATAATAAAGACAACACACCATGACATTTAAGGTTTACTGCAGGTTACACAAGGTTGGTTTAATATTAAAAAAATTAGTTAATGTAATTCACTATACTAGCAGACTAAAAAAGAAAAACTGTATGATCGTCTCAAGAGATGCAAAAAAAAACAGCATTTGATAAAATCAAACATGCTTTCATGATGAAAAACAATTTTAAACTATAAATAAAAGGAATTTCCTCAACCTGATAAAGGACATTTAAGAAAAACCAAGAGCTATCACCATACTTTATGGTCTAAGACTGGATGCTTTCCTGCTAAGATTTGGAACAAGATCAAGGTGACTGCTTTTACTACTTCTATTTAGCTTTGTACTGGAGGCTTTGTTCAATGCTGAAAGGCTGGAGGAGGAGAAGAAAGATTGGGTGGGACAGGATTGGAGAGAAGAGGATGGCATGGGATAGAATGGGAAGGGAAAGGAAAGGAAGCGAATAAAATGTATCCGGATTGGAAAAGAAGCAGCAAAACTGTCCTTATTTGCAGAGATCTGATTGTTCATATAGAAAATCCTATGAAATCTATAAAAAGCATCTAGAAAATAAGGGTTTAGCAAAGTTACAGAATATAAGATTAATATACAAGAATCAATTATATGTACACACACACAAACACAGAGGCAACACTCAAGAAATTGAAATCATTAAAAAATCCCATTTATAATAACATAAGAAATTATAAATACTTAAAAGATAAATCAGATGAAAGATGAAAGAACTGTATACTAAAAACTAAATACTGTTGAGAGACTCTAAGGAAGATCTAAATAAATGAAGTGTTATACCAGGTTCATAGTTTGGAAGACTCAATATTAAGATGTCACTTCTCTTCAAATTGATCTGAAGATTCAGTGACATTCTAAATTCCCAGCAGGTGTTTTTGTAAGCATTAATAAGCTGACTCTAAATTTCACATGGAAATGCAGAGGACACAGAATAGTGAAAACAAGTTTGGGAACAGAACAAATTTCAGAACTTAGACTGATTTCAAGACTTATTATAAAGCTACAGTGGTGAAGACAGTGTGATATTGACATAAATAAAGGCAAATATATATCACTAGAAAAGAACAGAGAGTACAGAAACAGACTCACATCTACATGGTCAATTAGATTTTGACAAAATTGCAAAGTCAACTCAATGCAGAAAGGATAATCTTTTCAACAAGCAGTGCTAGAACAATGGACAGCTACATGAAAGCAATGAACTCGGATCCATACTCTGACATCATATTAGAATTAACTCAAGATGGGTCATAGACCTAAATGTAAAACCTAAAACTATACAATTTCTAGGAGAAAACATATGAAAAAAATCTTTGTTACCCTGGATTAGGCAAAGATTTCCTAGATACAACTCATAATAGAAAAAAGGGAAAGTGGAATTAATCAAAATTAAGAACTGTTCTTTGTAAGATACTGCTAAGAGAAAGAAAAGCCAAGCCACTGGGTGGGAGAAAATGTTTGATCTGGAAACCACATATTTGATAAGGAGTTTCCAGAATATATCAAAAAAGTCACAAAACCCATTAGAAAGAAAACAAATAACCTAATTAAAAATTTGGCAAAAAATCTGAATAGATATCTCACCAAAGAGGATATATAGGTGACGAGTAAGTACATGAAGAGTTGCTCAATATCATTAAACATCAGGGAAATGCAAATTAAAACATTTCAATACCATCTCATACCTATTAGAATATCTGAAATAAGACTGACTACAAAGTATTGGTAAGGATATAGAGTAACTGAAACTCTTATATACTGCAGGTGAGAATGTAAAATGGTACAACCTTTAAGGAAAAGTTCAGCTATTTCTTCAAAAGTTAAACATACAACTGCCATATGACCTAGTCATTCCACAGCTAAGTGTTCCCAAGAGGAAAGTGGGTGTATGTTCCATATATAGACTTATATACAAATGTTGTTAGCAGCTTTATTTGTAATATCTCCAAACTGGAAACAAACAAATACCCATTGGCAAGTGAAGAGATAAATAAATTGTGTTACAGTCATACAATGGAATACTACTCAGCAATAAAAAATAAACTATTGGTGCACACAGTAACATGGATGAGCTTAAAATATTATGCTTGATAAAAGAAGCCAGACACAAAAAGGATATATACAATAAAATTCCATTTATATAAAATACTAGAAAATATAAACAAATGTATAATGGCAGCAGATTGGTGGTTGCCTGAGGACTGGGGGTCGGGGAGAGGGGCATTAAAAAGGGCTACAAGGAGACGTGGAAGTGATGGATGGATATGTTCTCTATCTTGATTGTGGTGGTAGTTGTTGCACAGGTATATACAATGTCAAAACTTACCAAACTGTACCCTTTAAATATGTACAGTTTATTGAATGTCAATTACAACTCAATAAAGCTGTTAAAAAATATGCTTCCCTAAAGGCTGCATCTCATACCTTTCAATAGGTTAGGTAATTGAACAACCTACCTTCATTTACCTTCTCACACAGAATAAATTAAGATTTAAAAATGTCACCTGAATGGGTATTAACATCAAGTCATTATAACATTAAATCCATTAAGGCCATTAAATCCAGAATCCTCCATTCATCTATACTGATAAAAATTAACAAGCTGACAAAGCTCCTTTTTGTGCAAACACAGCCACAGTAGGTAAGTCACCCAACCAGAAAATCAAATCAGACTTTTCTATAATCACACTGAAATCCATTAATACCTGCAGATGAGTCACAAGTAAAGATGAATAATGTACATAAAAAGCACATAAAGGATAGAACATTAAGGAAGGGCCACAAAAGAATAAGAGTTGTAGGCACATAAAATGAATTTATCTATAGAAATATGTTTTAGAACTATTTTGGACTTAATTTTTTTAGGCATATACACATTATTAACAAGGACAGGTCATTTCTATTCTGAGTTGAAGATAGGAGTTGAGTAGTGTATTCATGGATAATATGGGCAGCAGAGTGTAAAATAAACTTTTACTTTCACTTCATATATTTCATAATCTAAGACCTTATTAATGATTTCTGACAGAGGAAAAATGTAACCTTTTTTTTTCTAGGTGACCTAAAAAGGGCAGGGCAGGGGACAGAAGGAAGAGTGAGGCTCAGAGATATGAAAGATCCCACTATATTGACTCAACCGGTGTCGTAACTTAGCTCAATGCCTCAATCAATCCCACTTTTCTCTCTCTCTCTGCCATTAACAGGGAAAATCACCTAAACCCTGATAGTTAAAAATAATATACTTACCATGAAAATTTTCCAAACACAGTAAATAGAGAAAAAGTAACCCAGAAAATTAAAATATTTCCCCTTGAAAGTTTTGGAGTATTCTATTCTCTCCTGAGGGAAAGCAAACACAAAACCTGGTTAGTTTCAGCTAAATGTAAATTTATATTTAACAAAAATATTCCTGCCTCTATGAATCACTGTTCAGGCTGAGTCAAAAAACCAAACATGGTAATAATATTAAAATAATAACAGTAGCAGACATTTACCAAATGCTTACAGTAGGCCTAAAATTGGGATAAAACCTTACATGCATTATCTACTTTAATCTTCATAACAACTCTTACATGTTCTATTATCTTAATTTTACAGATGAGAAAACTTAGGCTCAGAGAGGTTCAGTATAACTTGCCCTAGGTCACAACAGCTAGTGAGGAGAAGTTAGGCTCAGGTTTGTTTCCAAAACCTATGTTAATCTCTATTCTATACTCTACTCCTGTGAAAAAGGATTAAAATAGTTTGAACAACCTTAACTACTAGAGTTTGTATACTTAAATTATATTGTATTTGGGGTATAAATAGTGAAGTTACTTCTTGTAGTTAGGTCACTTCTTGATCTGGATCCTTTAAACAGGGCTAGATCATGGCAGATAGGTGTCATATTTCTCCTCCAGTATTACTAACTTATAAGGGATAAGAAGCAATCAGAGGAGCTACCATCTTGATTCTGGATGAGTAGGAAGTAGTGTGTGACACCTTCCTAGATGTTGAATAGCTTCTTCTGACTATACCACTAATTTCATTTACAGAGAGTGTTCAGTTAAGAATTTTGTTAGTGGTAGGAGCAATGTCACGAAGATGCAGACTCCTAATGCTTCGTGGCTGATATTGAAGTTATGAGGTATCTCTTACATTGCTTGGCTATAGAGGACACTAAAAAGCTATTTTCATTTCGTTCACTCTTCACTCATATTGGTAAAAACCACACTTCAGTTTCCTTGCTAAGTACCTTGGTAGCATACAGATCAGCTGTTTCCAGAAAAAGCTGCCTGCTTAATTCTTCCAAAGCATCCACTTCCTGTTGAATAAGAGTAAGATCTGGCACAAAATGGGCATCAAGGTTTAAATCACATAGAAGTTTCAAGAAATAACAATGAAGAAAGCATATGCTTTTGGTTTCTCCTATAGTGAATCCTAGGAACTGCCTATATTTTCAATTTGCTGCTTCATAGCCAGCAGTACTACTTCAGAGAAATTTCCCAAACTTGACACAGGTATGTAAAAGTTTCTTTATCAAGAACATTACCACCAAACACCTACCATTCAGTTATTCCCTAGCTCAAGTGGCTAAGAGAGATGGTTATGTTTATTTGTTTTGTTTTATTTATCTAGGTAGATTAAGTGAAATGTAATTTTAAAATTTCAAATTGTTACACAGTAAAAAGAACACCTATTAATACAGCAGCTTTCTCCTTCATTATCTGAATAAATAAAATGTTAGGAAAAGGAAACTAGTATTTACTGAGTTCTAATACAGGCTGGGATTTATAGACATTACCTTCTTCAGTTTTTTACAGACACTCTTCAATTATTCTCAAAACCAATCCCATGAGATGTTATTACCCATTTTGCAGATAAGGAAAGTAAAGCTCAGAGAGTCAGTAATTTGCACAGTCACACAGCTCAAAAGTGTGGATCAAAGTCAGATATGCCTTACTCTAAGACCTGCTCTTTCCATTACACTATGCCACTTTCCGAGAACTCAGTGAGGTAACATTATTATTCTCTCCATTTAGGAAACAGGGACCTAGAGAGAGGCCAAAAAAATTCCAGTATTTCTGTTGATTTATCATCCCTAAAATAGCTTTAATCTAAACTTTAGCTTTGACGTATTTTTAAGTAATAAATATAGTAAAGATAGACCCTTCTAAAACAGAAGTATTGAATTTAACCCAAATCCTCTTCTCTCTGTGATTTTTTCTACTCTTACCCAAGTCAACAAGTGCCCTTCAGTTCCTTCCTCAGTAATGGCTGCCAGTGGCATGGCTGGGCCACCAAACAACAGGGTTTTGCTAGTTACATGTCGGTGTCTCCCAAGGCCAGACGGGCAGCTCCTTGAGGGGAGAGGCTGTACTCTGTTCACCATCTTATCCCTTAGTATTCTGCCTGGAAATAGACATAAAGTATATGTTTCTGGACTAAATGGGCTTAAAGGAATCCTTTCTTTTCCTTTCCCATGGTCACCTTACTTTTCTTTTGTCTAATTCTTACCTGCATTTGATACCAGAAAGATATGCCATAATTTATAGCAAGAATAGATTACATCCTTTTCCTCCGGGTAAAAGAAAAGGAAATTCATACTTCTTCAGGTGAGAGAAAGAACCAGGAATAAGCTATCTTACCACTAGTCCTCCGAAGTTTTGACTTAATAGGCTGGTAGCCTCAAAGAGATTTAGTTAAATTTGGGAATTTAACATTGCAATTAGGTGAGTCAAGAACAATCCATTAACCCAATCTCCTTGATTCTTTAGAATAAAAAGTTACTGGAGATACAGAACTGCTTAAAATTTGTTTAGGAATACTGCTTGCTTTAGGAATGGGCCTGTTCCATCCCATATACAAACCATCCATTTTAAGGAGTTTCTATGTTTTGTGGTATTTTTTCACAGTTGGGGACTCTAATAGTGTAGTGGAAAGAACTAAGAAAAGGAAAACACAGCTTCTGGCCATATCTTTGCCACAAACCACTGTGTGACTTATCTTCTCTGGGTCTATTTTCTCATCTGTGAAATGGAAAGACTGACTTATTAGGACCCATAGGACCCCTTCAGCTTAAAGACAATGATCTTTTATGGGTGCTGGAAAGATGACTCTACACACTGTATTTCTTAAGCTTAGCCCTGGTCACCTGGACTCTGATGCAGTCAGGTTCTGTAGAAGAAACTAGCCCAATATGCCTTCTTTCTTTCACCCTTGGCACAGAGAGAGAAGAATAATCAAGCAGAAGGATAAAGGATACTTTCACTTCCTGGTGCTGAAGCGGTAACACTCTTTATCATTCCCCAGAATCCTGATGGTTTGTTATGTACCTCCCCCTTCTGGAACATTGTTCTCCGTGTCATTGCCATCCTGAAATGAAAGAAAATATAAAACCTCAGCAAGGAAGTATGGACCCTCATAGTCCATTCACCTTCCAACCTCACAACTGACCCTGCTGTTCAGGGAAGGAACCAAATTCTGGAGGTCTACTTTTCTAACTGAAGGGAAACTATACACTCTCAGAAGCCATGTGGCCTGGGTGAAGAAGCACAGAATTTGGAGTAGGCAATAAATCTGAGGATTGGCTCTGCCACTTAGAAGCTGTGAAATTTTAGAGTTTTCATTTCCTCACCTCTGGATGAATGTCTTTGATGGTAACTTAATAGTAAAAATGAGTAAGATGAAATTCCGTTAGCACCAATTCATAGTCAAATTTTCTTGAGAAAGTCTAACAGTACAAGTTTTTTAAATGTGTTTGTATCTTACCTTTTCTTTTTGCTTATGATCATATCCATGGTTTGGAGCAGTCGTCGTTCCAAGGAGAGAATATCTGTGTCAGTCACATTTCTATAACAAGCACAGACTATTAGCAAAGTTTTGGGGTCCCCATCCTTGTGTGTAATACAAGGCAGAGAAACATATAAACTTCAATTATTGCCCAGTAATTCAAGGCTTTTCCTGAAGAATATTAAAATGACTATAATAAGCAAAAATATTTCTGCTATAATTTTTGTATAGTTAAGACTTCTGGGGTCTCAGGGCACTGGAAGGCAACTAGCTCTGTCATAGTCTTTTTTAGCTTTTATCCAATGACATTTATGATGTATGTGTAAGCACACTTTTCCTTGGCATTGTCTTCAAATCCTCTACTTTTAGAAGGAACTGATTTACTAAAGTTGAGAATAGCTCACATTGCTGTCTACTTAGAGATGTGTCTTTGAAAAGTGGGGGTAGCAGGGGGTGGGGAGGTCAGAATGAAATCACCATTTAAAAATAAATGAATGTAGGGCAAATAATAAAGGACAGGCAATGTAAGTGATAAGACTTATTTAGAAAGATTCCTAGGTCAATGTCCATAAGGATAGAGCAAAAGAAGAAAAAGGCAGTGTTAAAGACCTAATATTTAAGTATTAATGATGTTGACATGATATCACATATATATTCGAGAAGTAGTGGGTCTAAAAGAAAAGAGACAAAGTTCTCATTACCTGAGGAAATAGGACATGTAAGTGTACGGGCAGTTGACAGCACCAAATCCAGAAAGAAGAGCCACGAGAGTCACTCCGATCACACCAACTCGGCTGATGAGCTGCTCTATAGACAAGATCCCTGAAGACATCAAAGCACATTAATGACATGAATGGCATTCATCTGCACTGCAAAAGGAAATATCACTGAAATGATCAACTATTACATGTAACTAACATGTACAAGGCTGAAGTTTAATTATTAATGCAGATTTTCTATAATAAATAACATAAAAACCCATTGATTTTCTTCCTATTTCATATGTTTCCAGAATCATCTCTATTACTGGGTAATGATAATAGTAAAATAATAACAATAATATAAGTATACATAGCTTTTAAAAACTGCTTATTTCCTCTGACTCTCCTATAGGAGAGTCTCATAACCTTTCTCCCCCAAATCCCTGCTATAGGCAATGAGGAGACAAGGAAGGATGTATGGGACGCATGGCAGGTTCTAGATATTGGCTTGTTCAACATTCATTCCAGTGTTTTTCTAGCATGTGCTCTTGTGCTACTGAATCTAAAGCCAAAGTTCTCCAAGATTTCCTGGAAGCTAATGTTCTGAATGTTACCTAGGTTGCATCAAATTCACAAGGCCATCTGCATCACCTCAAACACAGCAGTGAATGTGGAAATGGTGGCAGCACAAGGCTGCTGAAGCAGCTGGGACAGAGGCTCTATTCTCTGATCCCTGATGTCACAGGTCCTGAGAGCCAGGTGACAACTTCAAGAGAGTTTTTTTCTAGTTTAGTCTTGTGGTGCAATTAGATGTTTCTCTTCATTATGTAGCATTTAAATTTGATGTCCTTTCCCTAAATACTATAAACTCCCTAACCCTAACATAAATCACTTTCTGGTTTAAACTAGTTAAGAGTAGATTCTATTTTCTGCTATAAAAACCCTGATAGATAGAGCAGGATAGTGAAGTGAATAGATGCATATTTTTTTTTTAGAAAGTTCTCATGTGAAAGCTCCAGTATATTTATTACAGGTGGGCTCTCTAATCTCTTTTAGATTCATATATATATTTCTGAAGTAGTTCTGGAAAGTCTTGTTAGCTGAGAGGTTTTTGTTCATGGTTTTTAGTACAAAAATTAGGGCGGTCTCTATGGCCTGTGCTTATATTTAAAATGAATTTTTTTGAGTGTGAGGAGAGACACTGACTCCTAAAAAGCTTTTCTTTAGCTACGAATTGTGAGTATTTTATGTCATTGTTTTTTCCCCAGAATACATACACTCCCTACTAAAGACAATTTTTACCATCTCTTGAGCAATGGTCATTCACCTTTTGGGTCCCAGAACCCTCTGGGAATCTGGTAAGTTTATGGATTCCTCACCTCCAAATAGGTATACAAATATGTTTCCATGACTCTGCATACATTACCCAGAGATTTAAGTAAAGGACACCTTTCTTCACCCCTCAATCTCTTGAAGTTCATTAATTAACCTCAGATAAAAAGCTCCCACTCTAAAATGTCAGAAGTCTGTTCCAAAAACCAGCATCTGATTCCTCTTAGGATGAAAAGAAAATTCAGTTCAAAACCAGACATTTTTTAGAGAAAGAACTTGCTGTATTTCCCACAATCATAAGTTTTTAAAAAATTATTATTTTTTTAATTAGAAAAATATAAACAATTCTTTTCCCTTCCCTACTACAGATACACTCACCATGTTTTGGGCTGAGAATGGGAAATGGATCTCCTAATTTCCAGAAGAAGTACATAAAGGTCAACCATAAGAGACAGGAAAAAAGTAGTCGCTGTTTATGCACTAAGAAAAAAAGAGACAAGACTTTAAGGTTAAATAGATGTATATTAAAGACCTTGCTCTACTTGAAGATAAAGGAGTCGTGCTAACTAATATTTGGCTGGCTTGTTCACTTGCAAATGAATGATGGAATAATACAATTTTTAGAGAAAGAATCCATACTACCATAAGAGAAATTTGGCTGAAATTAAGACGTGCACTGAGTTAAGGGAAACATTATGGTAGAAACAGAAATAAAGCTGTGACAGGACAAATAGCCTAATCATTCATTCAATATTTATTTTGTGCCAACCTTTTAAAGATGCTGTGTATGGGGTGCCCGCAAAGTAGTAGCTATGAAAGTAATGTGGAAATGAAGCTCCCCACACCCTCAAACCCCAAGAATATTCATCTCAATCTATGTGTTAACACAAGAGGGTAAAATACTCACATAGTCGGATGTTGCTTACAATAAAGTAGCCAATATAGAAAGGCACCATGAAAACCAAAATCAGAAGAATTACACACAGGTTCATTTTCCAGTGAAAATAACGGGAGCTGAAATAAATGTCAAAGAATATATCACTAGGAAGGGAAGGGCAGCAAATTTCATTCTCTTTGGTCCCCAAAGGATCTCTTGCTCTTTGAACTCAATACTGAATATATCCCAACTAATCGGTCAAGTAGGCTATTACTATCTGCTCATAAGAGGTTAAAAAACATAAAATTCTGAGAGGTATATATGACCATCTTAACCTCCTAAATTTCACTTATTAGGCTAAGAATGTTAATGTTCTAGTTATATTCATAGGCAATGCAGAATAACATCAACATATACAATAACATATATTAACTTATTACTGGTAGAATGACTATTGTTACACTCACCTCTGGGAGTCTTATTTCAATATAAGAATTGGAATAAAATAAATGTTAATAGTAATATGTGCTAAAAATACTTAGAAATATTTCCTTTGTGTCCTCAATATAATTAAACATCTGATTTGTATGACTATTTTTGTTACTGCTTATAAAATGAATTTATTTATTAAAAGATTTTTAGGAATTTTTGCTGTTTATAACAATTTGAGATATAATTTACCCATTTAAAGTGTATGATTCAATGGTTTTTAGTATTTTCAGAGTTGTGCAACCATCACCACAATCAATTTTAGAACACTTTCACCACTCTATAATGAAATACTATTCCCATCAGCAATCATTCCCCTTTCCTCCCAACCACTCATATACTTTCTGTCTATATGGAGTTGCCTCTTCTGGACATTCCATATAAATGCAATTATATAATATGTGGTCTTTTGTGACTGGCTTCTTTCATTTAGCATTAATGTTCTCAGGCTTATCCATGTTATAGCATCTCTCATACTTCATTCCTTTTTATGGCTGAATAATATTCATTCCATTACATGGATATACTACATTTTGTTTATCCATTCATTATTTGATAGGCATTTGGATTTGTTTCACCTTCTGTCAGATCAGTGTTCAACAAACTATTGCCTGCCAGCCACCTGTCTTTATAAATGAAATTTTTTTAGAATATAGCCACACCTATTTGTTTACGTTTGTCTTTGAATGCTTTTGCTTTACTTTTGGAAGGAACTGATTTACTAAAGTTGAGAATAGCTCACATTGCTGTCTACTTAGAAATGTGTCTTTGAAAAGTGGGGGAGCAGGGGGTGGGGAGGTCAGATTGAATAGAGCTGGATAGTTGTGACAGGAACTGTATAGGCCACAAAGCCTAAAGTATTTACTTTCTGGCCCGTTACAGAAAAGTTTGCTGCCCTCTGCTTAGAGAGCAGTGAAACTTCCAGGTGTAATAATAAAATTTAGTAACTAGCACATGAAAGAGCAGTTGCCTATTTTCAGCAGTTACAGAATCTATATTCAGCTCATGCGAAAAAGGTTCAGATTATTAAAGAACAAGTTTAAAAAGTAAGAAGTCAGAATGCAGTCTTGTTTGACCATACTTGTTTGACCAAGTTTTTAATTTATCTATCAAGAGATCATAATTTTCAACTCTGAGTCCTAAAAAGAGAATCTGAGAACACAACCTCTGTAAGTCTCAAGTGTCAGGGGTCTGTAATGAATTATACAGCTTAGCTCAGCACTAATTCCTGACTATGGAGTCAAATGTCACTTTATCCTTAAAGATTATTCTGTGTAGTGATAAAAGTCTACATAGAATAGCTGATGTACTCTACACATAAACACTGGCCTAAAAAACTCAAGCTTGCAGTTTAACAAGCAAGAAATATTCTGTATAGACTAATAAACTAACAGGTCTATTATTTGGAGGGGAATAGGAGTTGCTTTTAAAAAATGTTTTAAAGAACACTCTAAATTCAATCAGACTTGACCATGCCTGTAAAATCAACAAAGGTAACTAATTTAGTAAGAACTGGATTTCAGACTTCAGAGAAGCCCGTAACTAGCTCTAAGGAATTCTGATTTTCTCAGGTAGAGATTATTCAATCAGCAGAACAATGTGAAGGGACATTACTAGGATACAGTCAGAGAGTTGCCTGAGAGAAATAGAACTTCCAGGAGTGAACCCTGGGACCTAAGCTGTCACAGCCTCATTCTCAATTAGTACTTTAGAGCTAATGGTCAGACTTTCTTCTTGCTATTTCACAGTCTTTGTCAAACCAATTACAACATGGCTGGGTCCTGTATTTGCTATGATTAATACAGTTACTAAGACTAAATTAACCACATGACAGATTTTTTTCAGCTATGGGATGTAGGTAAGTCTTCCACCATAAAGAAAATAACATAAGTCTCTTCAAGAGGAGAACTAATTAGTAACCTTACTCACCTGCTATTCAATACTTTTAATATTTCAAAGATGATGAGCTCAAACATTGTGCAAGAAAATGCAAAAGTCACAGAGAAGATCACCTGTACCACATACTGACGCACCTGTTAAAAGCAAAATAAAGACTAAAATTCATTTCTTGTGTGAAATAGTGAATTGAGAATCTTCTGGTTATAAGTCAAAAAACTTATTTTGAAGAAATTATCCAGTCATTGGAAACAGGGCCAAAACAGTACTTGTATGGATCTAAAATATACAGATGAAAGTAGGTAGTAAGTTTAGGTCATTTATACCATCATCCTCTTGTGGATGGAAAATTTTAAGACACAAGAATATGAAGTCACAGAGTTGGAAGTAGCACTTAGAATTTTTGATGCACACTAACAAAAAAAAAGACAGATATATATATATGTGTGTGTGTGTATATATATATATATATACACACACACACATATATAAATATCTGTCTTTTTTTTTGTTAGNTTAGTGCTAAGGGTTTCAACACTGCATAACTTGGGCCAGTTCTGGGAGGCCTCCCCTGGGAGTCCTCAAAATATTACGCAGAACAGACAAACCTGGTGGATTCCGAGAAAAAGATGGCAGTGTAAGAAGGTAAGGTGGAAACCTCCTCCCAAAATCACATAGAATGTGAAAATACAGCAAATACAATGAAACGTGGAAATGGCCTGAAGACTGAAGAACTGACTACCTACATCTGGGGAAGAAGAGAAGGCTTACAGAAAAGGGTAAAGTGGCAAAGCTGTGATCTGGCGGGATCCATGGTGTTCCCCCACCACTGTCCACAAGCGGGAGGAAGAGGAATGGAGCAGGTAGGGAGTAAGAGCCCAGGACAGCTGAACACCTGGCCCTGGAGATCTGCTCTGGGAACACGAACCCACATCACCTGCTCTGGTGATTAGTGGAGCTGGACAACAAAGACAGGCAGAACACTCAGGGAAGGTGAGATTCTAGCTGCTTGTGGAGAACAGGTATGCTCTACTGGCCCCCCAGAGACAAAAGCAAAATGGGCAGTTGGAAAGACTTCTCAGCAGCAAGAAGGCACCAAAGGGGCAAAGATTACACAGAGCTCTCCGCTCAGGAGAAACAGCAGGTGGACAATACCTTCCCACCCACCCTGAGTCCAACAGGTTAGTAACCTCAGGAGCTTCAGACACTCCATCCCCTCACTGGCACTGACAATGCAGTCTTGAGGCTTCTCCCTGCAGTGTGTGGCATGCCAGCCAGCAGTGAAAATCAGACTTTGCTCCCAGGTAGGCAGAGGGAGATCCTCTAGCTTTCTCAGGCCTGTTCTGGGGCAGCTGGGGAACTGCCTATAGGAGCAAGCCCCAGGAGCCCCTTCCTCCCAGCAGGTGTCAGTTCTGCTCACCTGTGGCACCTGCCATTGCTGCAGGCCAGGGGGAAGGCAGCTGATGGCCTACACAGCCCACTGAAATCAGATCAACACAAGCCAGACAGAAAGGTGCCAATACCTGGGGCTCCCGCACAGGAAACAGCTTTTGGGCACTAGAGGGTGCCTCCTACACAAAGCTATTATTCCATGGGGGGGTGGGGGTGGGGAAGAACAGGCAAAGGAATTTGGTCCAAACAAAACTAAAAGACAAAACACCAGAAGAGGGCTGAGTGAAACTGAAAATCACCAATCTTCTTGATAAAAACTTCAAAGTAAAAGTCATAAACACGCCCACAGATATACAGAAAAATATTCAAGATTTCAAGGAGGGCCTCAACAAAAATATAGAAGACCTTCAAAAGAGTCAGAGCTGAAGAATGCAGTATCTGAAATGAAAAATACAATGGGGGGATTTAATAGCAGGCTTTCACAGGTTGAAGAAGTTGTAAGTGATCTGGAAATTAGTAAGCAAGCAAACGATGAAGCAAAAACAAAGAAAAAAAAGAATCTCTAGGAATGAAAGAATTAAGAGAGCTATGTTACCAATCCAAATGGAAAAATATTTGCATTATAGGGGTACCAGAAGAAGAGACAAAGGGATAGAAAGTCTCATTGAGGAAAAAACTGTTGAAAATCAGACAGAAAATAAATAAGGAAACAGAGGTACTGAACAATACATTAGATCAGATGGACTTAACAGGTATCTACAGAACAATTCACCCAAAAACAGCAGGATACACATTCTACTCAAGTGTACGTGGAACATTTCCCAGCATAGATCTCATACACAGCCACAAAAAGTGCTTCAATATTTTCAAACAGATTGAAATTGTATCAAGCAGCTTCTTAGACCATAGTGGTATGAAACTAGAAATTACACAAAGAAAACAAAAAATCCTACAAACACATGGAGGCTAAACAACATGCTTCTAAATAATCAATGATCAATGAACAAATTAAAATGGAAATCAAGCAATACAGGGAGACAAATGAAAACAAAAACTCAATCACCCAAACCATGTGGGATGCAGTGAAGGCAGTTCTAAGAGGAAAGTACATAGCAATACAGGCATACCTCAGAAAATGAACAACAATCCACAATAAATAGTCTAAACTTACAATTAAAGAAACTAGAAAAAGAACAAGTGAAGCCCAAAGTCAGTAGCAGGAAGGACATAAGAAAGGTCAGAGCAGAAATAAATAAAATAGAGAAGAATAAAACAATAGAAAAAAATCAATGAAACCAGGAACTGGTTCTTTAAGAAAATAAACAAAAAAGATAAGCCCCTAGTCGGACTTATAAAAAAAAAAGAGAGTACACACATAAACAAAATCAGAAATGAAGAAGGAATAATCACAATGGACACTACAGAAATACAAATAATTATTACAGAACACTATGAAAAATTATATGCCAATAAATTGGATAACCTAGAAAAATACAACCTTCCAAGACTGACCCAGGAAGAAACTGAAAAATCTCAACAGACCAATTACCAGCAATGAAATTGAACTGGTAATCAAAAAACTCCCAACAAACAAAATTCTAGAACCAGATAGCTTCACAGCTGAATTCTACCAAACATTTAAAGAAGAGCTAATACCCAACCTTCTTAAAGTATACAGTAGAAGAGGAGGGAATACTTCCAAACTCCTTCTATGAGTCCAGCATCACTCTAATACCAAGACCAGACAAAGTCAACACAAAAAAGAAAGTTATAGACCAATATCCCTGATGAACATAGAAGCAATGTTAATCATTAGGGAAATGCAAATTAAAACCATAATGAGATATCATCTCATAGCAGTCAGAATGGCCACTATCCAAAAGACAAGGAACAACAAATGCCAGTGAGGATGTGGAGAAAGGGGAACCCTCCAACACTGCTGGTGGGAATGCAAGTTGGTTCAAGTATTGTAGAAAGCAATATGGAGGTTCCTCAAAAAACTAAAAATAGAAATACCACAACCCAGTAATTCCACTTCTAGGAATTTACCCGAAGAAAACAAGATCCCTGATTTGAAAAGACATATGCACTCCTATTTATTGCTGCACTATTTACAACAGCCAAGATATGGAAGCAACCTAAGTGTCCATCAACAGATGATTGGATAAAGAAGAGGTGGTACATATACACAATGGAATATTATTCAGCCATAAAAAGAAAATAAATACTACCATTTACAACAACATGGATGGACCTAGGGGGTATTATGCTCAGTGAAATAAGCCAGGTGGAAAAAGAAAGATAAATACCAAATGATTTTACTCATTTGTGGAGTATAAAAACAAAGCAAAACAGAAGGAACAGAATAGCAGTAGACTCACAGACACCAAGAAGTGACTAGTGGTTACAAAAGGTGGGGGGAATGGGGAGGGAGAAGGGGATTTAGGGTCACTACAACTTGCAACCACAATGTAATACCATCATGATGACAGTAGCACAGCACAGAGAATACAATTAATGACTCTATAATATCTTAGTACATTGATAGACAGGGACCACAAAGTTGGGGGTGAGGACTTGATAATATGGGTGAATGCTGAACCACTATGTAGTGTACGTAAACCCAGCGTAAAATTATATGTCAATGATACTTTAATAAAAAAATAATAAGCAGAACAGAATCTCTAGAAAACAGGTATTATTTTTTATTTTCTTTCATTGAACTATAGTTTATATACAGTACCATATTGGTTTCAGGTGTACAATGTAGTCATTCAACAGTTATCTACATTATTTAATGCTCACCCCAATATTATAGTTACTGTCAACATACAATGATACCATGACAGGTATTGACTATGCTCTCTATGCTGTACTTTTCCTCCCTGTGATTTATTTATTACTGTAATTTGTACCTCTTTATCACCTTCACCTCTTTCCCCCACCGGCTCCCTCCCCGGTGGGAACCACCAGTATATTTTCTGTGTCTATTAGTCTTCCTGCTTTATTTTGTTGTTTATCTTTTTTTTAGATCCCATAAATAAGTGAAACCATATGTTGTCTTTCTCTGTCTGACTTATTTCAGGTAGCATGATATCCTCTAGGTCTATCCACATTGTTGCAAATGGCAAGATTTCCTTCTTTTTTAATGTCTGACTAATATTCAATTGTGTATATGCACCACATCTTCTTTATTCACTCACCTATTGATGGGTACTTGGGTTACTTCAGTATCTTGGCTACTGTAAATAATGCAGCAATAAACATAGGGTTGTCCATATCATTTTGAATTAGTGGTTTTGTTTTCTTCAAGTAAATACCCAAAAGTGCACATACTGGGTTGTATGGTATTTCTATATTTTTAGGACCCTCTGTACTGTTTTCAGCATTAGCTATACCAATTTACACACCTACCAGCAGTGCATGAGGGTTTCCCTTTCTCCACATCCTTACCAATGCTTGTTTTTCCTTGTCTCATTGATGGTAGACACTCTGACTGGTGTGAGCTGATACCTCCTCAGGGTTTTGATTTGCACTTCCCTGATTGTGAGCGATGTGGAGCATCTTTTCATATGCCTCTTCACTATCTGTATTTCTTCTTTTGATAAATGTCTATTTAGGTCCTCTGCCCATTTTTTAACTGGGTTATTTGTTTATTTTGGTGTTGAGCTATAGGGGTTCTTTAAATATTTTGGATATTAGCCCCTTACCAGATATATCATTTGCAAATACAGTCTCCCATACA